GACGCCCGGGGGCAGCGGGCGAGGCTCCCCCTGTGCAACAGAGGCGGGCAGCGAGTGGGGGACATCGCGCTGGCTTTCCGCCTGACAGACCTGGGCAGCGGCCTCCCGGGCCGTCCTGGGCGACCCGCCGCCTCTACCTCCATCTCCACCAGAGAGGTCAGCGCCCGGACTCCGCAGGGAGCACCGCGACCACAGCGGTCAGCCTCAGAGCCAGGCCCGGGAGATGCCGAGGGGCCTCTACGGGCATCACAGAGTGCAAGGGCGCAGCCGAACTTGAAAGACACCGTTTTCCCCAGCAGGGCCGATTCCGATGACGTGGCTACTGCAGAGAATGGCAAAACCAGCCCTGCGTTTCCTTGTTCAGATGCCAGCAGTGGGAGGAGTGTGAGCCCCTTACAGAAGGAAGGCGCAGAGTTGGACATTGAAACCAACACGTTTTGCCCTCCTCCGCTGTATTACACTCATTGCACCCAAGAAAAGACGCCGCCTGCGCAGTGTAAAATCACCATTGAGCCGCAGACAAGTGTACCTGAAGAACTGGATGGTGATTTTCTGGAAGAAAAACTTGTTCAGCCCTCAACTCATAGGAATCCCCTAAAACCTGCAGATCCTGCAACACATGAGAGCCCCCCGATGCTTATAAATCCTCCACATACTCAAGATTCAGGAGCAACAAGTCAAACTACACATCACCCTCAAACTGAGGAAAATAGAATGAATATAGTAAGGCAGCTGCCTTTGCTAAATGCTCTGTTAGTTGAGTTGTCCTTGTTATGCAATCAGCCCATGACAAGTCCTGCTCATGTCCATCCTCAGTTAGCCTGGCTATATAGAACAGAGGAAAAGAAGACCTTAGAATCTTCTGCTAAATCTACAAATCAGTCTGAATCTAAGAAGGATAAACATTCTATGGGGGACCGTGAAAAGTCAGAGAGTCTTCAGTATAAAAAGGACCAGGTTGAAAACCTTAAGAAAGGTAAACATACTGAAAGAAACAGTGGTACCTACCCAAAAAGAGTTAAAAGGGGGAAGCTACTTTTTGGCTTAACAAATACACTAAGACTACGCTTAAAACAAACAAATCCTGATATGCTGGTTGTACATGAAAAAAGAGAAGAGTATAGAAAAAAGCAAGTGCAAGCGTTGAGTACAAAATTCAGAATCCCATCACCCAAGGCTAAAGTATTAAGTTTTGTGGAACAAAGCCGGAAGCCATATGAACTGCCTAAAGATAAGTATTTAGATTCTGATTCATCTTTTGCTGAAAACAGTGATACTTCAAGACAGACAAGTGGAGGTTTTGATGATCCCAGCACAACTAAAACAAAGCTGAAATGTGGAAGTGAAAAGACTGTTGATTCTGGTGGAAATAGAACTAGTAAATGTTCATTGGAGGAAATTGTGAGTCCTATAGATTCCATTGTTCCAGCAAACTTTACTCATACAAATATTTTGGGAGAAAAAGTAGACATGAAAGTCCAGAGTCCGTTTGTTTTCCCACAGGACAATATTGACAGAACTGTACTAGGTAAAGAAATAGGTGATGGGCAGGTCGTGAACACAGGTGCTGGTATAAGTGAAAATAGAACGAGGAAAAATAGTTGCTGTGAAAGCATCTCAGAACTGAAGTACTCAGATGACTTCACTAGCTCATGCTACTCTGAAGATTTCTGTACCCCTGAGGATGCCAGCAGTTTACAAGCTCATGATTGCAGTCCAGAAGCAGAAAATGCAACGCATAGTCAGCATATGAGCAATTCTAGTGAAGCAAGATTGTCCATAAGGAAAAATAATAGTGGAAGGAGTTCTGTTCTTAGTCCACCCTTTTCAGCTGGATCACCAGTACTCTCTCATAAAAGATCTCATATTTCAAAGACTGAGGATAAAAGTGTGGAGGAAGCATTTAGTATCTCTACCAGTGATTTATCTTCATCACACTGCAATGAGGAAAAAGAAAACCAGATAAAGCAAAATGGTATGCATAATTCTAAGAGAGATCAAGACATCTTGACAAGAACTGGTTGCAAGTCTTTAGAAAAAAGCCTGTCCCCAAGGACATCTCAAGTGAGCTCTTATCTGCCATCAAATTTGTCAGAATTAGAGCTTAACGTTTGGGATAGCAGTACATCAGATCACTTCGACGAAGACGATGATGTTGGTTCACTAAGTATTTCCAAGCAATGCAAAGATATTTGTGAATTAGTAATAAATAAACTTCCAGGATATACAGTGTAAAAATAATGTTCTTTAAAAAACATTTTCAACAAGCAATGTGTACTGTTAGTGAAGAAAATTTATGACTATTTTAGTACATAAATTATGTGGATAATTTCTTTTAAGAAATTTGTTATTTTGATGTTTAAATAGTATACTGTCATAAAGTCTGAAAACATTGATCATGAAATCACTCTATAACCTAGGTAAGATTCTAAATAGCCCTGTAATCTTAAAAATAAAGTATTTTTCTGAACTGTCTGTCTTAAAGGATCTATCCTAAAACTTAAAGTATTTAAGTTATTATTAAAGTTATTCTAAAGTTAACTTTTTGCACATCATTGAGAAAAGGCTACTGATACTCTCAAATTTTAATGAGAATAAATCATTTAACAAATGTAGAAGATTTACTGTGCGAAGTGCAGAAAGGTACAAAATGAGCTAAGAAATAGCCCCTGCTGTTGTAAGAGCTTAACAGTTTAATGTGGGTAAGTCTTCCCTGACACTGATATAGCCCCTGTCACCAACAGGCAGTCTCTTTTGTATACTATCATAGTGCTCTATAATTTTTTATTAACTACAACTTGTATGATTACTTGATTAATGATTATCTCCCTCTGGGCTTGAGTTTTCTGAGGGAAGTGACCATATATGGTTTGCACAACCTTATATTTTTAGTATCCTGCACAGTCCTTGGCATTTGGTTGAGGTGCAATAAAAGCATTCATTGAACAAATGGCTGAAGACCAGGCATTTAAAATGCCTAATGGGAGGGTATAAAATTAAGCGGTGTAAACAAGCAAAAAACTTGAAAAGAAACCTGCAGACAGTGCACATTGGAGACGTGTTCGTGATATTTTTGTTTGTGGATATAAATAGCCTTCATTGTGCTCTGAAGTATTTGACAAGAACTAAAAACGTGTCTACCTATATTCTTTTTTGTGTGAGTTCAGCTTACTGTTCATTTCAAGTCAGTAGTATGCATGAACATTTTTATGAAGTCTACTGATCACTTCTTTATAATTTACTCCATTGGTTTTGTGATTAGACCTTATTCTTATATTTACATTTTTTTCTAGCTGTGTTATACATTTTTTCTTTTACTTTATAATATGTCTAATATTTTTAGATATAAGAGGTGAAGTCCTAATTTTCCTTTTCTTAGAAGTAATCAATTAGATAGACATTACCTTCTGAATGATCATAATAGATTAGATTTGCATAGATGATAAGAAAAGAGGATTTGGGGGGAATAATATGAATGAAATAATGATGAGAATGAGCATGATATTCGTGGGACAGTGAAAATAGCTTGATTAGAATAATAGATTCATGCTACAGAGTGGTAGGGGAAAGAAGTGTTGAATAAATAAAGCCCCAGATTGTGAAGAGCCCTGAATGCCAAACTTACTAATGAAGTTCTAAGCAACAGGAACAATAGGCTATTATAGGTTATAAACAAGCACCAATAAGTAGTCATGACAGTTTGAATATTTCTGGCACAGGAATAATGCCATTAAAAGTTTTGAAAGTTGTTTTTTGTTTTGTTTTTTGTTTGTTTTTTTCTTTTGAAAGGTTTTGCCTTAGGGTGTGTGCACTTGCTGGAGTGAGAGTGAGACAGAGAAACTGAGAAATCACCTCCCCAGGGGGAATGGCCAGGCTGCAATCTCTTCTCCATTCTCTTCCCAGGATCTTGGGCGCACATGCACACATGCCCGGTGTGAGTTTCAAGCTGCCAGGACTGGGACTCAAACTGTGGTCAATCATGTTGGAGTCCAGGGACATAACTGCTACACCATCTGCTGGCCCTGAAAAAGAGTTTTTTAATGGCTATTGGCCATGATCTTAATTTTATAAAAATATGAACCCTATATCTCACAAACTCAAAATAATGCCAGGTACTATAGCTAAATATTGAAATGACATAACTGAATTGTTCAATAGAAAACTATAAGAAATATCAGAATCATCAAAAAAATGATTCCTTAAAAAACTGTTTGAGAATAAGTCATTGTCTACGGTGAGAGTAGGCGAGGAAATAATGTGTCTAAGGTACAAGGACCAAAGAATGAATGCACTTATAAAACTGAGCAGAAAAATATGCTTTTCTTTGAGTTACTCAACAAAATACTTATTTCTGTCATTGCAGTATTGGTTTTTCTGGCTTAATTCCAGTAAAAATACTTGTTTTCATGTAGTTAGTTCTTCCTATCTGCATTCTTCAAATTTTGTTTCATGTTTTAATTCTGTCATCAATAAGCTATTAAAGGATTTCACAATAGACAACTACTCTTGAAGCCTTATTTGATCTCTGTAATTGATTATTGAAATATGAAATAGTATTATATTTCAAATAAGGGAGACCTGTCATTTCATTGTCAAACTAAGCCATTGCAATCCAGTATTTCTGAATAGCATGGGTATCTAAACTGCTGTAGACAAAGCTAAATGGGAGAAGGTCAGAGAAGCAAAGTGAGATACAAATGATGGCAGGACCTACTTCGAAGTAGTCCTCATGCTTTCAGTTTAAGAGGTAACTGTCAATAATAAGTTCTTTGAACTGTTGCCATAACTATTCTTAGAGGACTGTACAGATGCACACAAGATGTGCATTTTTTACTTCTTTTTCTCCCAGTCCTACATGGTATTGATCACATCTTCAGATATGTTCAGAAAACAATAATACTGAATTTCTGTCATGTACTTTTTGTGGCTTTCTTTCAAGAGCTACCCCTTTAACATTGCAGTTAATTCATATTTTTATTCATGTACAAGCAGTGAATTTATTATGGAGTTATACTCAGGAACCAGACTTTAATTTGAAACAAACTTATAAGTCAAGATCATAAATTAAAAACAACTTTTCCTTTTACATTGTGTTGTTGGCAAAGCAAAGACCTTTCATAGTAAAAGAACATATAAATAAGATAAAACAATATTTAAATTTGTCAAATTAAACTTACTGGGCCTAAAGAAATAGTCATTCTTCAGGGTATTTATGTTTTAATTCGGATTAAAATAGCTAGGGGCTGTACGAGATGACAGTATGTGAGCTGAGATTTGCTGGATACTTTTCAACCTGAAACAATGTGAGGAAAATCTACTTGGTCAAAGACCAAGGTGTCCTTCCTGACTTTCCCTAGGGACTTATCTGCCATGCCAGGAAGCAGCAGACTTCAGAATGAGCATCATTGGGCTGGAGAGCCAAGTCATAGTAGAGGGAGTGCCGGTTCTGAGCATTTCTACCTCTACTGCACTAATAATCTATATTCTAGAATAACAGAAAACTTAGATAAGCGTTTTTGCTTCAAAAATGTATACTAGAGAAAGATCATAGTCTTTTTCCCCAAAAAATCCACTGAAATGACAGTAGAGATAAAAAAACAAGAATGAACCCCTAGTGACCCTGACGGAGAAAAATACTGATGATGGACCAGACAGTTTGAGAACTCCTGGAAGATATTAAGCAGATAGGATGAAGCTGATGAAAACAAAAACAAAAACCTGATTAGAAACCCACTCTTTTTTTTTTTTTTTTTTTTTTTTGGAGAGGTTTTTCGCTATAGGGCACGTGCGCTCACCAGACAGAGACAGAGAGACAGAAAGCGAGAAATCACCCTCCCAGGGGGGATGGTCACACCGCAATCCCTTCTCCTCCATTCTCCTCTCGGGATCATGGGCACGCACGCACACGCGCCCGGCGTGAGTTTTAAGCCACCAGGTCCGGGACACGAACCGCAGTTGACTACGTGGGAGTCCAGCGACATAGCCATTACTCTAACTACTGGTTCCCCTAGAAACCCACTCTTCAACATAGCCCCATGATGCTCCTGGACAAATGAGAAGACTTCCTAACACAGCCCCAGATAAACAAGCTCAGACAGCAGGGCGTGGGAGAGGAGCAGGCCCAGGACACCTGAAGGTGCGAGAACCTTGAATACAATGGAGAAGCAGGTCTGGGCTCAGGACTCTCTACCTGAAAGGGTGTTGAGACCATTGAGAAAAACCAGTACTTTTTGCTTTTGACACCAAAACATACGTTCGATCTGTGTCTTGATTTTACTGGGGAGACTGCTAGTACTCGCAGCCAATTACAGTCATCTAAGCCTGGTCTTTGGAGACAGAGGAATAGCATTTGCTTCCTTGATTATTTTATTTCTTAGAGACAATTCCTTCATTAGACGGTTGGTTTTAGGATTCAAATCAAATAACTCACCGAGCATATAAGGCGGAGTGTGACTGTTGGGGACTATACTTAATGATATTACAGAGAATGTACCTTTGTATCTGTACTCCTGCCCTGGGGGATGAACTTTCAATGAAAACTTCATTCAGGAAATAACTTCCTTCCAAAGGTTTAAACGACTTCTCCACAGCGCATCAAGGCAAAGAAGTCCATGGAGACAACACAAGGAACTGGAAGGCTTCTGGCCATGGAGGGAGACTGTTCAGGTCAGAGGGGAGCCACCAAAAGGGGCAGAAAGAACTCTTCTCAGGAGATTTAGCAAAGTTGGGCCTCTAGCTTTGTGCAGAGCGCTGGGGGCAGGGAACAGAAACCTACTGTTCAGTAAGGAAAGGGATTCTGAGTAAGGGCATACGGAAAGACAAAATTCTCTAAAATAGTAAAAGCAACATATTCATACAGGGAAGTGTGCCGTTTCCTGCAGACCTAGTTAAGTGGCTCCTTCTAAGACCTCCCCAAAGCTTTCCCCATCCGAGTAAATGTCTTTCCATAACAGGTACACAAACACGTTTGTTCTTGCCTTTAAATATTGTGCAGATGGCGTTGGGATGAAGGGAGAAAGAGCTGCCATATTAAAACAGCCGGAAGGTTATAGGATGAGTTGGGAAGGAATGAGACTCAGCTTTCAGACCAGATACTGCAACTGAGGAGGAGAAGGCGGAATCCACACACACAAAATTGGGTTTTAAAAAGAAAGAATGTAGGGACCGGCAGTTGGTGTAATGACTATGTCGCTGGGCTCCCACATAGTCGACCACGGTTTGAGTCCTGGACCTGGTGCCTTAAACTCACGCTGCGTGATTTCTTGCTTTTTGTCTCTCTGTCTCTCTCTGTCTTTCTGGTGAGGGCACATGCCATATGGCAAGAACCTCTCACAAAAAAAAAAAAAAGAGAGAAAGAATGTGCTCGTCCAAGAACAGGGCAGAATAGAAAAGGAGACAAGCTCCTACGAGTTAGTAAGACAGCCGAAGGTCATGTGCTGGAGAGAAGGAAGACGGAGAGGAAGGAGCCCGGGAGCTAACGAGTTCGTGGTTACTATCGGGTATACTTGTAGCTTGACTGTTTAAAAGATTGTAGGTTTTGTTTTCTTTCTTTTTTTTTTTTAGAGGTTTTTGTTATAGGGCACGTGCGCTCGCCAGACAGACAGAGAGAGACAGAGAGACAGAAAGCGAGAAATCACCCCCCAGGGAGGGTGGCCACACTGCAATCCATTCTCCTCCATTCTCCTCTCGGGATCTTGGGTACGCACGCACATGCGCCCGGCTTGAGTTTAAGCCACCAGGTCCGGGACTCGAACTGCAGTTGACTATGTGGGAGTCCAGTGACATAGCCATTACGCTAACTGCTGGTCCTGGTTTGTTTTCTTTCTGATTTGGATGTAGATTTGTTTTTGTTCTAAGGATCTTCTAATAGTGCTGTAAGAGTCGTCAGAAATGGCTTTGATTGTGGCTCACACTGAGCTAAAATCCTAAAGGAGGAGCAGTCACCCCAAGAATCTGCATGTCAGAAGACCGAGAAACCACTTAACATAGACCGACTGTCCGCACTCTGGTCCAGACTGAGAGACTGGAGAACATAAAAGCATTAAAATGGCAATGGACACTAGAGACAAAGTGGAAAGAGAGCGTGGGAAGGGAGAGCCTAGGAAAGGAAATTTGAGGGGAAACGGAGGGGTAAGACACTTGGGGAACACAGGTCAGGTTTGTTACCTGTTGACGAGGATGTGGATGGTGGCCTCAGCTGGACTGGACTGAGGTGTCAATCATGCTGGGTAAAGTCTCTCCACAATCTAAATGATGTACAGCGATTTAATGTATGAATAATAATTTAACATTTTTTTAAAAAAGACAGAAAAAAGATATGGGCTCTCTTAGGAAGCTCCTCCTTTCTGCTCAGAGATTTCTCCTTCAGTTATTCTCTACAAAAAGCCTTGGAGGGTTTTCATTTCATTTGTTACTTTATTTATTTATAAGAGGAAGCCGTTCAATTACAGAGAATCTCACACCCATCAACCACCTCGAGTCTTGTGTCTTATAACTTGTGATTTTGGTGTCACCTCTGTGGAGTGAATTGGGACTCAATTCTGGACTCAGAGTGACATTTTAAAAGTAATGGGTAACTACAGATACAGAGGAGCCTATTGCCAGAAGAGTTGGGCTGAAATTGTCGCTGGCATATCCATCATTTTAAAGAACATTTCCGAGTGCTTTGGGACAGCATTTGCTAGCCAGAGGAGAAGATCTTCCGAGCCTGAGAAAGCCCTGAGAAGGAGCATCTGTTTCTCAGCAAAGTACTCAGACCCTGTGTTCTCTGGCCAAGTGCCTACAGGTCAGAACTTCTGTCTCC